TCTTAATTGCCAACCTTTCTACCCTTGTGATGTTTGATTTGAGTGGCTTGACCTTCTCTTGTGTTTGTCTCATTTTTTATCTTAGCTCATCTGGTTGGGCATTAGAGATCTTCAAGATATGTATGATGGTTGTGGCAAAGTTGAGACTTAGCACTGATATCTCAGAAGCACTCAACTACTGATTGCTAATATTGATAATTGCTCTTATCAAACTGTGATTGGCTTTGTTGATACTCCTGCTCTGTTCTTTCATTTGTGCTAGTTTTTGAGCTTGTCAAACCATGGCCCTTTGAAATTCTTTATTGAATGATATAACCAGGCCTTGTTGGATTGTGTATTTGGCTAAATCAAATATTATTTTGCAAAGCAATGTCCTGGTCTGTTCAGAGTGTTCATGTTTCAGCTGATGTTTTCTCCATTAGTTGGGCTCTCCTGGAACTGACTGATGTCTTAATTGATAACCCTGCTAGAACTAGTTTTAAGTCTCTATATCTGTATAAGTATATCAAGTGGCTTGATTTCCATACAATTTTTCATGTAGTTTTTTTTTACTACCTCCATTGTATCAAGGTACAGTAGTGTAATGGATAGCAGCTCAGATTGAGGAGTCAGAGAGCTGAGTTTGAATTCCAGTTGAATTCATTACATTCACTTACATGCTAATACCCTTAGGAAAGGTATGAATCCTTCTTCTCCCACCAGCTATGGGTAAATAGCAGGACAGACTGGGTTCTATAACCTTGAGTGACAACCGGTTTAGGAGAAGGTAACTCTGAATTTAATACCGGCCTGAAAAGGGTTGGACACCATCATGCTATTTTGCTCAAAAACACTACTTCTACTGCAGTACATGTGATGCTCCTACAACCCATATGGATCACAGGATTCACAATCATTCAATTGGTGTATCACCTTCAGTCTGTACTGATTCAATCCTTTCTGTCTGAATTTCTGGAATGAGTAATTATCATTATTTAGATGTGGATATTGTCCCCATCTTTGTTGTTGTTATCACAATGTTTCAGCTGTTGTCCCCTTTGGTCTTCATTGGGTACTTGTCACTCAAAGTAACCTTTAAGGAATCTCTTCTTTTTGATAAAATATCAATTATTAAAAAATATTTAGTTAACCTGATTCCTGTAATGCTATTAGTAGACTTGGTTTGGTAATTTATGAAACTTATTTCATCATCAAAATTGTAAGAGTCTAAATATACTGACTTTTTTCAACAGAGAATACAATTGACAATTTTATGGTAAAAATCATTAAGAAAAGAGAAATATGATGCTAACTTCAGTTTGTACATAAACTTCATGCTAACAAGACACTTGATTCTACAACTACAAAATTCATTTATTATTTTGTTTCATCATCACATGAAAAGATACAGTAAAACACGTAACATTTAAAAATACTGAAGTCCAAGTATTTACATAATATTTCAATATGGTGAAAATTTTCAAAGAGGCTTCATTCCTTAGATGCCATGTGTGATGTATGCTTGGATGATCATGTTTTTTTCTATTCATGATTGACTTGGCAGAAGAAATCCTGCAGTAGGCTGACATTACTTTCTGCAGTAGACTGGTTGCCACCCAAGGCTATCGGACCCAGCCAGTAAATGTAACGTACATGATTGGAATTCGAACATAGCTCTCATTCCAAGCTGTTACCTATTTCACCTCCTGCATATTCATGCTGACAACACATGGTTTTCCCAAGCAATCACTTAAGTATTGAAGAGGATCTACAGGGTGATCTGAAAGTCACAAGCTCCTACAGTTTAAAAGAGAGTGTTAGGGTAACAAGAATTTCTGACCACCCTGTACATTGCTTAACTTAAGTGATTGGACTAGAACCAGTGTTTCAACATGATATGGCTACAAGCCTCAATAAGGCTTGATATTTAAAAAGATTACAGTAAATAAAAAAAAAAATTAAGGCATTTCTCAAGAGCTTTTTGCTTGTTGACAATGGGGAAATATAATCTTATATTAACAGATTCAGTATTTAATGCTTGTTTTAATTTCCTTAAAGCTTTAGCAAGGCAAAAGAAAATATTTAACATTTTTAAATATCAGAACCTCTCTTCTTCAAATATAATGTGTCCTAGCAGCTTTATTGCCTTGCTTGGGGATGAAGTAATTAAAACAAATAAACAGCTATTGATATAAATGCATAAATATCTGTGTGTGTGTATATATATATATATATATATATATATATATATATATATATATATATATATATATAGGTGGTCCAAATTGTAGGAGGTCATAGCAGCCATCTGAAGTAAAAAAAATTATATTATGTATACAAGACTTTTGGACCACTCTGTATGTGTGCGTTTTTGTAAGATGTTTAATGGTATCTGAAACAAAAGTGAAGATATTGAAACAAAGCTATAAATGACAAGTTCCACTGAGAATAATATCTGCTGCTTTCAGATTTTTCAGGTTAGAATGAATGACAAAACTGTATGTAAGTAAAATACTTTCTCATTTTGGTGGGCTGATTTTAAAATCCAACAGACACCAATAATATATATATATATATATATATATATATATATATATATATATATATATATATATATATATATATATATATATATAACAATTTTCTTATTTCTGGTCATGAGATTTGATAAGGTAGTTTAATTTATAGCCCCCTCTTTCCCTCAGAGATCTCAATGTATTTTTCTGTTGTTTATATCTTTTCCACTTTGTCTCATTATCTTCATAAATATACATATATATAGATATTAAATATATTAAAAACTTACCTCATTTCGGAAATTCTCTTGCATAAGAAATTTACATCTCATGACTTGAGTGGACTTTTTTATAACTGCCTTTCTCATTGTATGTATGTATGTGTGCCTAACACCTGCATAGATTGGTGTGTAAAAATAGTGTATTATACATATAAGTCTTATTGTGTGTAATGGTTGGCTTTCTCATCAATTAAAGTTCTGGAATATATTTTTTAAAGTTATAATGAGTTGTATCTATGTCTGCATAAATTGTTACCTGAGATTTTATGAAGTAAATGGTATGCCTGGTTTTTCTCTCTGATAATGTGACAAACAACTATTAATAAGATTTTTTCTTTCCATTTTTGCTTGATAATGAGTTAGTCAAATGTTTTTGCATAACTAGTGCAGCAAATTAAACCCATATTTTTGAGATGGAGACACCCCTAATAGTATAAAAAGCCACTTATATTTTTAGAAAGAGGGACCATTCAGAAGTCAGAAACTGGTAGAGGCTGCCCTGGAAACTGCTGGTAAAATTTTTACAGCCTCCCAAATGACCTCTCTTTTTTCACATTTTTGCAAACTAAAATGTAAGGGTATGGTTATTACATTAGCTATGATTTAATGATGTGCTATCAAGTTCCTCACAATCTACATACCATTGGAAAGAGGGAAGATTCAGTTTTCACATGGTATATAATGTAAAAATGTTTTGTAAAGTGCTCAGCATGCTACTTAAAAGAGAAAACTCAAAAATAGTTCTGCTTTGATTTTCCAGGGGAAGAATGTATTGTAATAAAAAACTTTTTTTTGAAGTGTATTGAAAAATGTTTGTCTACTCAATTTCATATGACATATACTAAATGTTTGAGAATAATTTCACACTTACAGGATCCTCTTGTTTAGTATTTAACACATTTTAACCACTAAAACCATTCTACCAAAAAACTACATTGACTCACTATCTTCATTTTGCTTCACACAATGCACAGGTGTGGTTTTTATATTTGCTTTAATTTGACCCCTATATTATGTATTCAATATACAGGTGTGGTCTTTATATTTGCTATAATTTGACCCTTACATTATGTATAGTGTACAGATATGTTCTTTATATTTTCTATAATTTGACCCCCTACATTAATGTCTACTGTTGGAGTGAGTAAAGATTCCTCAATATAATGGTATATATTACAGGCATCAATGTTAAATATTGAGTCAAATAGGGTGCTTGAAACATAGAAATGAAAATTATTCAACACAAGGTGTTGTAAAAGATTTCCCTATCAGCTTCTGAATCCTTGCTCTTTCCCAAAATATAAGTGCTTTTTCGCGGCATTAGTAGCATCACCAATTCAAAAAATGTGCATCATTTTAGGGTTTGTTTGAAGTACTATATAGTAGAGATTATAAAATTGAAACCAGAACATTTTTGCATAGTTTACTAGATTCTTATAAGTTTCATGTTTTTCAGTAAACATTTGATTATTAATCTAAAAGTATTGTCAATTATTAGAATATTTACTATTAATATCAGCATTTTCCAAATTTTGATTCTTTTTAAGCTTAGATTTATAACAGGCATTTTTATCAGTTAATTAAAAATGCAAATCATATTATAAATCTTAGGATTGGTACTGCATATTAATTATCAAGTATATCTTATTTGATATAAAGTAAAGTACTGTTAAGTGTCCATTTTTTACTTTCAATATGTTTTAATAATTATAATAATAGTCTTTTTAATATTCTTTTAATAATTTTTAATTACTTTTAATAATTGTCTTCATATTTTATCAGTGTTATGAAAAACACTTTTGTTATAAAAACTTTCTTTACTTTTTATGCAGTCAGTTTAATATGCATTTCACAGAACCTAACTGTTTACATCATTTTTCAAGGACCAAAATATTCTTAAAATTGAATATTTGTTATTGTATTTAATAAATAACAAAAGAATAATAAACAACAAACTTTACTCCTTTTTAATGTAACTAACATAAACTAGATCATAAATTGTTTCATAATGTTCTTTAATATTTTCAATTACAATTTAGCAATTTCTAATAACTGCTTATATAAAAAAATTCCTAATAGAATGTTAAAATGTTTATTAATGGTGGTTATTTTTATTAGACTTGTTTCTTGAACGGGTTAATTTAATGTTATTTAAAAATTTGTGACTGAAAACTAGTGCATGCAAGTTTTTAAAGTATATAATTCATTGATGTAAAGTATATGATCAGTGTATTTTGTGAGGTACAGGAGGCAGTGGTCTGGCATTGTGAGTAATTTGAATGCTGTCTGATAAATGATGGGATTTTTGTTCAGTTTCCTTTCTCAACAGATTGATGGGATTACTTGTTGCTTTTGAAAAACATATTGCTGGAATTGTTGTTGATTCATTTGGGTAGCTAAAGTTTCCTTCTATGTGTCTTTTATCCATTTTATTGAACTGTCCACTCTGTGGCTTGCAGAATTGTGGAATCAGCTGATCTGAAACAATAAATCAACAACAATCAATAACATTTCAGTGTGTGTCTATATTATAAACAAAAGTAGAAAATGAGCTTTTAGTAGTAGGTATCAAGTGTTTTTAAGCTTCTTTACCTGTCATCTCTTCTGCATGTCCTGTGTCTCCTTCACTCCAACCATGTCCACTATCTGCATGAGAAGACAGTGTAGATCTCCATGTTGGACAGTAAGGAGTCATTAGTGTATTCTTTTCCCCATTCTGAAGGCCTGGTGTCATCTATACCAGAACATAAAAATCAAATATTTTATCATAAGAAAATAAGTTAGTCAAACAGTAATATACAGGGTTAAATAATGAAAGATCTTCCATGTTTGTGAAATTCTTAATTATTCAAGTTAACTTCATTTCTAAAAAGAAACATTTTAAAATAATCTGGTTTTCAAATATTCATCACAAAATAATCCATAATCCTTTCTCAAAATCAGTTAAAAGAAATGGTGTATATTTCTCACTAAAGAAAATGTTTCACTAAATATGTTTGGGACAAGATTTGTCATCCAAAAGTCTTTTCTTCAATTTCACAGTTCAAAAATATACTAATTAGGAACCTCTACTTTGTCACTGAAAAAACATCATAGCATGATGAAAAAATACTCCAAACTTAATAAAAACAAAGTTTTATCATCAAAATGTTTATGGTATTATTAAGAGGAAAGACCAACGTATTTGTTCATTATTTTATTAAATTTTTTAATCATTTCATGTTCATAATTTTGGTTAAAAATTTTGATTTTTTGCATCATAATATTTATGATTAGTGTTTTAGCACCTTTTTTTTCAGGTGAAAAACACATTGATTGAGAAATTCTTGCAAAAATCAAATAATTGCCATATTTTAATGAAACTTTCAGGACTTATTCACAAATGAATGAATGAAATTATTTTTGAAATTTTGTTTTAAAAAATTTTGGTGAAAAAAAATAGTTATATAATTTCATGAAATTTCAAAAAATTAAATTGCAATCTCAAAATTGTTTTTATTAGTTAAAAGCAGGACTCCTTGGAAAATGTAAATCAACATTTTTTTTAAACTACTAAACATTTCCCAAAATTCTGCTAAAATAAAAAATGCAATAAAACTATGCCATTATTTAATTAAAAAAGCTTTTAATTACTTTTATAAATAAGATTTATTAATGACACTATTGTCGTAATAAAAAATTTTTCCAATGAATAATGAATTTTTACAAGAATTGTTTTTATTTTTAAAAAATTTTAATTATAATAATTTAAATCATCTAAAATTCTGCATTACTTTAATCCGGTTAGGTGATATTGTTATTAAGTGAAAACTATATTTATGAATCAAAAATTGAAAAGCTTAATAAAAGCCGTTTTGCACCAAGATTTTTAAAATCATTTTTAATTTTTTTCTTAGTGTATAAACATTCCCATTTTGTAATGCTTTAAATTTCATTTCTGTGTTTCATCATGTTTACATCTCAACAGGCTTTGCAAATCATCTCTCTCAAAATTTTAAAGTTTAAAATTTAGATTAATTTTTACTTTTTTAATTCTTATTTCACTAAATATTTTTATTTTATGTATTTATTTTAGTGTGGGTCATACTTCAATTAAGTAAATTCTTTTTTTTTTTGAGTTTCACTTAAGAAAGAACCTGGAGATGAAACCCAATATAATTCTACTAAAAAAATAATTTTACTTTAACATAGATTCAATTTTTCTTATTCAATTTCTATGTGAAGTTCTTATTTTTTGATTTGCATGTCATTTTGAAATTTCCTTTCAAATTACTTTTACTTTAACTCCTATTTTGTAAAAATTTTTTTTGTTAGTAGTTTTTTTACTTTTTTTAACTTTATTCTTTTTTGTGAGAGTTATTTTGATAAAAACACAAGGTTATAAAGCTAAAGTAACTAAAATTCAATAAAATATTAGATAATTGCTGAAAATATCATGTTAATTTTAAAAATTTACTAGGGAGTTAAGAACTAAACACAAAGTGTTCACTTAGATTTCATAAATTTATGTCAATTTCTGGTTAACCATACTTAGCTGCCATCATATTAGGCTGCCAATAAATCCATTAGCACATTAAAAAAACAAAACTCTGTGGCTAAGAAATGCTTGTATATTACGTTTTATGCTATCAGTAAGTAACATTCATTTCAAATCAGATTAATTTAATTTTACATTTGCTAATTTTCTTCAAATAACATGTTACAAATATATATTTTATTTTTGGGAGATTTTTGAAACTGAGAATTAACTTTTCTTTGCAAATGTGTCAAAATGGCTGGTGTTTATCAATTTTTATTCATTTTCTGAAAGCAACCAAGAAGTTGAGATTCCAATCAATATAATTTCTATTTGAAATATATCAGAATATTTTACTTACTTGAAATAGAAAATTTAATCATTTAGCTTTCAGTTTAAGCTAAAAAGAAAGCTTCAAGAATGCTTTTTCATTTTTAAAAATTCATTTTAAATCTTAGATGTCAAAAATTTAGTGGAGGTCCTTTATATTAATGAATTATGTCTGACATCAAAATAATTCATTTGTGTATGTGTGTGTTTGAATACACACAGATATACATAAATACAGTATATAAAAGATATATATTTTTATATTTTACATTGAGCACTGTGTTTTTGTAGCATTTTCATTATTACTTATATAAAGCAGGACATAATTTCTGATCTTTGGTTTAAAAAGTTTTTTTTTTATACCAGAGATTGGAAATTACATCTCATTGTATTCATACTAAAAAAATTCCTTTTGAGTTCATTTGAAGTGGGATAAAAAGAACATATGTATATTTCATTTAATCCCTCATTGATACATTTCCAGTACACTTGATTTTCTCCTCTTCCTCTTCCTCATGTCATGCACATATTCCTTTAATTAATTTTATTAAAAAAATATAGCATTTATAATTTTTTATTTTTTAAAAAAAAGCATCAGGAAATCAATTGACTGAAATTGCCTGAAGATACTAAAAGGTTGAAACCAAGGTAGCAGAATCAGCTGATTTCCTAATTTTCTATACTTAAAAGCATTACATGTTAATTTTTATTTTTTTTTTTTTATGTGTATTGAGCACTTTTTTAATACTACCATTTCCTGGTCTAATTCAGCTCTGACCATTAACTTATTTATTATTATTTTTTATTATATATATGTCAAATTCAATATATATATATATATATATATATATATATATATATATATAGGATTGATCTAAAAATAATGCCTGTTATTGAATTATGTGGATCAATGATGTCAGAGGCAGATCTTTGCAACTGTTCATCATGGTTTTTGTAAATGGCAATGAGGATGATGATGATGGGTGTAATATGTAAATATTTGAATCGTGTAGAAAATATATTTATACAAAATATAGTTTATGAAAATTTCACAGTCTAATCAAGATGTCCTTCCAGTAAATCTCATAAATTTTGGTTTAGTAAAAGTGAGAACTTTTCAGAACCCCCTTTTATATATATCTTCTAAGCATAATAATATTTAATGTTCTACCACTATATATGAAAAGTGTTCTTAGATTTTATAGAGACATTTATCCTGGAATATTTTCTAATGCATTGAACAAAAAAAAAAAAAATATGATTAACATTTAATCATAAAAAGGTTTTAATTTTGTAGTGCAAAGTAAAGAATACATCAATTTTAAACCAAAACATAATATCAGGTATAGACATTTACCTGACAGGTGATATCAACAGTTGAGTTTGGTCTTATTGCTGTTGATTGGTTCATGAACCTGGGATAGGATTCCCTTCTGCTAGCTGCCATCCCCTCAGCACTCCTACTAAAGTTGGGATCATTTATCATAGTAGTAGGAACATCTGGCCAAGAGCTCCCTCGATAAGAAGATGACATCAAATGTCTTTGTTCACTAACATATCTATTAGGAACATCATCTCCATCTCCACTTGAAGCATTACAACAACGAAGCACACAGATTGAGATTGAAGCCGTAATGATGATAGTCACCATGACGGCTGCTAATGTAATAATAATCACCATATTAAGATGCACTTTCTCCTCTGATTGACTTCTCTGTACACCATTTACTCTTTCCAAAGAAGAAGTCTTATTTTTTACAATCAGACTCAAAAAGATTGTAGTTGAGGCTGATAAAACTGGGATGCCACTATCCTTGACAACAAACTCCAGTTCATATGAGCCAGCATCTTGTTTTGTAAGGGCACCAGTAGAAGACAACAAACCACTGTAATGGTCAATGGTGAACAACTGTTTCTCATTGCCTGCATTTATTTCATATCTGAGAAAGGCATTCTCTTGACTATCACTATCATGTGCCCGCACAACTGTAAGGTTCTTGCTTTCATCAGCAAAATATACAACTTCTATATTATGTGGATTAACATTGGGAAATGTAAAATATGGACTGTTATCATTTTCATCTTCAATTTCAACAATCACATCCACTGTATTATTCAGTGATGGGATTCCATTATCTTTCACCAAAACCTCAAATTTATAAACATCTTGTAATTCATGGTCCAATGATTCACTTGTTGAAATAAAACCATCTTTTGTGATTAGAAAAGGCAGATGACTTTTCTTCTCATTTGTTGCAAGAGAAAAGATCAGTTCCCCACCAGGTCCCAAGTCTGGATCAGATGCATTGATTGAACCCACATCAATATGAGGTTTCTGGTTCTCACTGATATGGAATTTATATCTGGATTTAGAAAATTTTGGCTTTACATCATTGACATCCATCACTTTAATGGAAAACTTACTCTCACTATGTCTTGGTGGGAATCCCATATCCTCACAACTGATTGTGATGTCATGATGTTCCTCAGTCTCTCTATCCAATGGATCTTTCAAAATCACTTGGTATTTTTTCAAGCCTTGACTTTTTAATTTAAATTTATCATGATGGAGATCACATATAACCTCTCCATTCTGGCCAGTATCATGATCAGTTACTTTCACATAGGCAATAAAACTGCCCACCTCAATGTCTTCAGAAATGGCTGTAGAATTTTCTGTAGAAGATGCTGATAAAAAGTTCACATCTATTGTTGGAGGATTATTTTGTTGGTTGATCACATTTACTTGCACCATTGCAAAGGAACTTAAGGGTGGATTTCCTCCATCTTTAGCTTCAATGTATAAATTATGGATTAAATTTTCTTCAGGTGGAATTTTTTTTATTAAATAAATTTCTCCAGTTACTTTGTTCAGTGTGAAACTATTTTTATCAAAATCTGTTGTTTTTAGATCAAAATGGTAGGAAACCTTTCCATTATTTCCTGAATCTAAATCTGATGCAGTTAAAATAACAATTGGAATGCCTTTATTATGTTCATTTTGAATAGAAAAATTGTAAAAATTTTGAGAGAACACTGGTGGATTATCATTGACATCTGTAACAGAAATGAAAACATTTAAAGTGCTCTCTTTAGGTGGTAAGCCTCCATCTTTTGCAACTACTTGAATCAGGTAAGAGTCTTTGATTTCTCGATCCAGTTGTTCTTTCAAAACAATACTTAGGTCTGATTTTCCAACAAGTGTTTTTGATATAGACAGTGTAAAAGGATATTCATCTTCTTGTATCAATTGATAGGTGACTTGAGAAAAAATAGTGCTAAGATCTTTATCTCTTGCACTTGGTATTGATTTTCTCATTCCATTTCGATCTCCTTCATAAAATTCAATATTAATATGCTCATTTGGAAATTCTGGCTGGTGATCATTAACATCTTTTATAATTATTTTGATTTCTAAAAGTTGTATGAAAGACTTGGCTTTCCTTACAGCAACATCAATCATTTTGAAACATCCTGAATTGTCAGTACACAAAAACTCAGCATCCAATATTTGTGCAGTATATAGTTTTCCTGTATTCTTTGCAACACGGAATAACTGTGAGCTTCCTTTTTTGAGTTGTGTAAAGGTGATGTGTTTATGATCTTTCAGAGGAAGTGTATCCATGACATGTGAGTCTTTGGCAATATTGCCAATGTATGTTCCTGGGCTTTGTTCTTCCTCCACTTTGTAAATAAGATCAGCACACAAACAAACCGGTAGGACAATTAGTAGAACATATACTGATATTGTCATCTTCAGATAGAATCTAAAAAAAAAAAAAAATAGAAAATCAGTTTTTAGTTTCTGCTTTTCAATAAATAAAACTGATAAATTCATAAATTCATTATTAAAAATAGGAATCCTTACATAACTCAGTTTTGTAAATTTATTCATTCAATAAAAATTATTATTCCTCATTCACTTCCATTTTTCTAACAATGATTCTGTCAAATTTAGTACAGAAATGATTGTGAGACTTTATTAATTAAAATATTATTGAATAATTTCAATTTGTAATCAATAAATTTACTGTGATAAGTAGAAAATCATATTCAGTTGAATATCCTTGTTTAGTATTTTAATTTCTTATTAAATTCAAATGGCAACTAAAGAAACACATATCAATGTTTTTGTTACCCTATCAGCCAATTACATAAGCTGACATTGAGCATTATGTATATATTCTAAAAATTGATCAATACATGTTGTTGAAATTTTAATCCTTTTTTGTTCTTTCCTTTGCAACCATATGCTGGATATAGCATAATGTGTCAGATTAAAATGATTTTATAAATAAAATTTAGCACTTAAGTGATAAAAAATATATGTTTAGAAAACAATGATTTTTATACTACCTCATTAAATATTAAAACAATAATTAAAAATCTACTACTGCAGTGTTATGTAAATGTGAAAGCCTATAAATTTAAGAAATATTTTCCAAATAAAATTTATTAAAATTCTAATTGTGAAAATTCTGATGGATATCAAATTCATGTATAACAACTTACAAGTCATCTTAAAATAGAGTTACTCATATTTTCAGATTAACTTTATAAAATATTTTAGCTTTATACCTTTTATTGATAAATTTTATATATTAATAATATTTTTTTCCTTTTAGCACTATATATGGTGTATATAAAAGTTTTCAATAAAAAAAAAAAATTATCTGTTATATAAACAGATTTTGGTTTTCAAAAATAGAGTGCTGGAAAATCTTATACACACATAACTTAAAGCAAAATGCATAAACCAAAATTAAGTACTAAAATATCTAAAAAGCTTCCTTTTTTATATTTTTTATAGTGAAGTAAACATTCATTCTGTTTTCCACTTATATAAAAAGTATGATAGAAAGTATTTTTCTGCAATTAAATTTGATTGGTCAAGGACTGAACATAAAGAAACAGAATCTATTATTATCAATGACTTTTCATCTTCATGAAAATAATTTTATAGAATCATCGTATGCAGTTAAACTGATATGTGCATATGTCTATGTGAGAGAGAGAGAGAGAGAAAGATTTTGAAATAATATAAAATTTTTTCTTTATTGTCAAATAGAAGAAACACAAATGTGTGCCCCATATAAAATATGAAAGGATTAAGATCAGGCCTAAAATATATGATCAAGAAATATGAACTGAGAAAACAAATAATAGCACTACACTATTTCAAATTTTTCCCCTACAATAATTAAGTCGCATCCACTAATGATATTTCTGCCAAGTTACTTCCCTTGAATCATCAGTGATCTAGTCTAATGTAACATGAAGTTGTTCTTTCTTGTTTATGTTATAAAAGTAAATGTTTAAAATAGTTCAAGATTAATTAAAGAGTAATGGAAAAGAAATGAAATTTAGTAATATACAAAATTCTAAAATATTATTTATTTCCCAAAAAAAAGTTGAATCCCCAGATGGGAATTCTCTGAGTGGTACAGAACACAAAAATATTAGTTCTTAACCATAATTTTTAAAAATTAGTAATTTTCTTTAATAATGTTTATAATTTGTAGATGTGATAAATTTTATCTGTCAAAATTTAAGATAATGAATTTTCTTAATTGGAAGAAATATCTAGTTCTTGATATTATAAAATAGCTTATCAAAATATGAGTTAAGAAGAAACTATCATCATAAGATTTCCTGATATTTAGGCTATGTAAGAAATTTATATGTAAATATTTAAATATTAGAAAATAACACAATTATGAAATGTAATCATTAAGGCAAGAAATCTATATCTTCATAAATATACAGGTCAAATTTATAGCTATTGTGTAAGACATTTTGTCATAATACATCACATGAAGCAAAAATTATATTAACAAAATATTTAATATTACAATAAAGATTAAATTAAAAAATTAAGTATTTGATGTTCACAACTTAAATAAATTAAGTTGATAGTGAAGAATAAGTGTTCATTATTTTCTATACATGTGAAGTCACAATTTTTGTCTTCTCAGCATATATTTTATTTTTTATGAAAATAAAAACATAATGAAACTGAGAAAATTGGAATCCATTTTGAAATTTCTTAGATTTTATTTTTTTGATTTATAGAATATATCTTAGAAATATATATATATCTATATATATACTTCATGCACTAGTATAATCTATATGTGTATGCAACTTTCACAGCTAAAATACTTCAAGATACATCATAATGGCTACCAAAATTATTCAGTTTAAAAGTAAATTGGGGGTTCACTAGTTTCATGCAGAATTTTCTTTCCCCTACAAATATTTGTAAATAATTTCCTCATCATAAAATTGATATAATTTGTATGAAGGTTACAGGAAAGAAAATCCAGCAGCAATGTACTTAATTTTAAGTAGTTACTTGATCTCCCTGTATTCTTTCAAATACATGAAAAACATCTTTAATCTCTTCCAAACATTGAATGATGACAACATCAAGCACTTTCTTACAAA